CCCTGTCCAGCTCCCTGATTTTGCTGGTTTCAGGACTGCCTCTTTGCCTCGGCCTGCTGAACAAGTGTCTCTTCAAATTGGGAGAGGCCGTGATGCACCGCCTGCCTCCAGGCTGAATGCTCAGAGGTCAAGGTTTCCCATTTGTTGAGGTCCATTCCTAAGGCCTTCAGATCCCACTTGCAGATATCCTTGTATCGCAGCTGGGGTCTCCCTCTGGGGCGATTTCGCTGCACTAATTCTCCATACGGGAGATCTTTTGGAATCTGATGTCAAAGGGATCTGATGTTGAGCCATCAAAAACTATGCTGCCCTTCATTCCCCCATGAAAGGACCTGATGATGTTAAGGAGTCGAGGTGGACATCCAATCTTGGGAAGTATTTTAAAAAGGCCGTCCCTGCTAACAAAATCAAAGGCCTTTGTGAGATCTATGAAGGACACAAAGAGTGGCTGTTGTTGTTCCCTACATTTTTCATGCAACAGTCTGAGGGAAAATACCATGTCAGTGGTGGATCTATTAGCTTGAAATCCACACTGTGATTCTGGAAAGACTCTGTCTGCAAGCACTTGGAGTCTCTTCAGCACAACACAGGCAAGCAACGCTGAGAAGAGAGATGTCAGGGTAGTTATTGCAGTCGCCCCTGTCTCCTTTGTTCTTATACAGTGTGACAATGTTTGCTTCGTTTTTGAACTCTTGTTGTGCTCTGTAAAACATTTTGTGTCTCTCTTTGTATTGTAATTTTTTAACGTGCGCTCCAGTTTGATATTATATTTTGGTTTCCCCGGTTTATGGTTTCAGGTTTTTTGTGCTCTTCGTGTAAACTTTATATGTAGATAGATATATATATATAATTTTTCGCTCTGATTTTTGTTGCTTTCCTTCTGTAAATTTTTTCTTTGTGTCTTTTTAACCCTTTTTATAGTGTGCATGAATAAGTATTTTCCTCAAATCTTAATTTAATTTCAGAGTTTTCGTCTTGAAAATTTTAGTTCCTGCATTGCGGTTTGTTTTTATGCCCTTTTTATATTTCTTTTTGCATCTTAAAATTCACTTGTAACTAAATCATTAAATGTTCCTGTTTTTTTTCGGGGCATTTCATTTTCTTGCAATTGAATTTTATTTTCAGGGGTCATTGGATTTAAGTGTCTTGAATGAATGAATGAATTAATTAAATAAAGAAATATATAAGATATCGCCGTGGGAAGGGGGGGCAATGATAACATCCT